CAGAAGAATCTCTTGGCTCCTTGGGTTTGGATGGGCCCAGCTCTGGCCATTGCAGCCATTTAGGGAGTGAACCAGCAGATGGAAGATCTCTCTCTCTCTACTATTGCCTCTGCTTCTCTTTAACTCTGCCTTTCAAATGAATAAATAGATGTTTAAAAAAAAAAACAACACATGTATATGTCCACAAGGAGTCAAACACACACTTTTATACAGGTACACATAATAATTACACACAGTTCTAATAAGTTATTAAATCAACCACACACTCCTTGATTTTTGTTAAATAACAATCAAAAATGCTTACTCTGTGAATAAAAAGAAGAATCCCAATGGAATTATTCATCTTTATTAATCACAAACTGATATAGTTAGTATAACCAAAGACTACAAGCCTCCTCAAGAGATGGCTAGCGAGAAATTCAACTATATAATCAAGACACTGCTTAAAAGAGTCTTTTAAAAAGACAGACAGGGGCCGGCGCTGTGACTTAGCAGATAAAGTCACTGCCTGTACACATGTGGGTGCCGGTTGGAGATCTGGCTGCTCCACTTCCGATCCAGATCTCTGCTATGGCCTGGAAGAGCAGTAGAGGATGGCCTGGGTCCTTGGGCCCCTGCACTCGTGTGGGAGACCTGGAAGAAGCTCCTGGCTCCTGGCTTTGGATCGGCACAGCTCCAGCTGTTGTGGACAGTTGGGGAGTAAACCAGTGGATGGAAGACCCCTCTCTCTCTCTCTCCCTCTCCCTCTACCTCTACCTCTCTGCCTCTCTCTGTGTAACTCTGACTTTAAAAAAAAAGAAAGAAAGAAAAAAGAAAAAAAAACGACAAACAGGAGGAGGGGGCAGGAAAGGGAGAGAGGATGAGACAGAGATAAAAGGAAAAAGGAGATGGAAAGACAGAGTCAATGTTAGTAAGAAGACAAAAAACTTCTTAAACTTTTCCACATCTGTCTCCCTGAATAGGAAATACCACTTTTCTTACATAAGTGCTCTATTAATAAATAATAAAATTATACCATAACAGAACTGGAAATACGTGCTAATTCAACCACACAAAGTTGTATAGCTTCACTGCTTCTCAAGAACAGTGCTGTTTAGAACAAAAACACATCCCAGGAGGAAAGAGGCCTTAGCCTCCATCTTTTTATTTTGAGGGATCCCAAACTATCTGAGTGATTTGGCCCCAAAAGTCTCTGAAAGAGATACAGATGAAAATCTGGAGAGGAATTTTCCACAACCCTGCTACTGAATAAGAAATTATTAACTAAGCAGACTCCACAGAATAGTGAGATGAGCATAGAGAGGAAAAATAAAAGAAGTAGGACAGTTAATGAATAACAGGAAACGCTCCCTCAAAAATTAGCCAGAAGAATTTGGAATCTGCACCACTGTCTCAGTCTTAGTCTTCTCTGTCTCTGAGGTATCCTGTTTCCCATGGACAAAAATGAACAAGCGCTATCACATATCCTTCAATGAAAAACTTTACTAACAATTTTTTCCATTTATTATTAACAACATACTAGTCAGCAAAGAGTCACATTTCCCACTATAAAAGAACATTTGGCACAATAGCCATCTTCTAAGGTATGAGTTAAAAAAAGTCAAAAAGTCTGAATGAAGGTCTTCATCATTAAACCTCCGTAAGTGGATTTCTCATTTAACATTTTCACTCTACTAGGAAGGGAGAAACCACTGTATTAGGTCAAAAGTAGTAGAGTACAAAATAGTGGGAGGCCTAGAAAGGCATATAAATACTTAAGACCCCTCAAATATACCACAGTGGAATACACAGAAGCCTATTAAGTTCTCCCCTTTCTAATTTAGCACATATCTCTAAATATGAGATTGGGGTTGTTCTAAAAAGCAGGATTGTTTGGGGCAGAGGTGGCAGTGCCATCAAGACAGCCAAAAGGAAAGAAAAGCCTTTTATACATGATTTCATTTAAACCTCACAGCAACCCTTTAGGATATGTGCAACTATTATAATTTACTCACTTTGCAACCTAAGGTTCTGCATGGTTAAGTGAGATGTCACCTCAAGAATTTACTTTTGATCGGCTTTATGAAACTACAGGTTAAACCCCCGCTTGTGATACCAGCAGCCGATATCAATGTACGGCTTGAATCCCAGCCACCTTAATTTGGACAAGCTACCTGCTAATGTGCCAGGGATTATGGCCTACGTGCTTGGCTCCCTGCTACCTATTTTGGGGACCTCTATGGAGTACAAAGTTCCTGGTTTCAACATGGCCAATTCCAGCTGTTGCAGCCATTTGGGAGGATAGAAGATATTTCTCTTTCTCTCTTTCTATAGCTTTATCTACCAAATAAATATGTAAATTAAAAACATTTTTAAAGAGATGCCACTAGATATAAGTTGATGAACTAAAATTTAAAACCAAGTCAGTCTGACTGCAAAGCCCAGATGTTTATTTTGTGTCACAGAAGGACTACATCAGAAACAGTCAGGAGACCCCAATCAGACATTTCTCTGGCATCTTTTCATAACTTGGTTCTAGTCAGAAATTTCTTTAAGACTTCATTTCCTCATCTGATAAATGGAGCTAATCACTACTCTGGCTTACTTTATCATGAGATTACTTATTATGATTACTATTTAAAGTCCATATGTCTAAAATAAAGTGTTTACGTTTTTCTTCCTATTTTGTGTCCCCCTGAATGGGGGAAAAATCATATGACACAAGTAGCATTTATAAAGAAGGCAAATTCATCACTCTGTTATTTTTTAAATAGAAGCTTTCCTGTCTACAAAAGATAATCACTTCTTTCAGTTCACAGTTCCTCCCCAAAGCAAACTCTTTATCAATGAAAAGCAACTCATGCTGTACTAAGAAAGAGCCTCCTGTGTTGAGAACATGCAGGATCCAAAAAACCCTAATTCTTATGTACAATTCTGATTTCCACATCACTAAGGTCTATGTTTAAAAGAAGTAACTAAACACACTCATACCAGGTGTCTCTCCTTTTTATGGTTCTGAACAAGAAGTCTTAGAGAAACAAGGGTGGTTCTGTGGGATGGAAACATATGCAGGACAGCTTACTCATGACCCTGATCATACCTTCTGAATAGGATACACGTACTGAATATACACCAGTCTGTCCAGAATAGCCCCAGTTTATGTAATTATTACTAGCACCCACTTTTCAGCATTCCAAGGTCTATCTGGGGTGGCATTAACAGAATATACATTCTACAATTTAAAATGACAAATCATTTTCTTCCCTTTTACAAACCAAGAGAGTGGCCATGACACTAGCATGACAGGTATGAAGGAAGGCTGACTGAATTGATGTAAACTGAAATGAACTGTAAAGAAGGGTTAAGAATATAAACACAGGAGCAAATTAACATTTACGTAAATTCCAGTCTTCTCACAAGCTAATCATTATCACTAATTGTAGTCACTCAGGTTTAAAAAATGTAATTTAAAAATGCATACAGAATCAAACAGATTACTTCTCCAAGTCAAAACATCATAAATAAGAAAGGTGAAAGAGAGAGAAATACCCTGTCACAGCCTCCATAGGACTATTTCTTCCCTGACTCTACTCCAGGCACCATGTGGGATCTCCCCTCTTAGAAGTTGCAAAAATAACCCAGACATAGATATCTTGTAAGCTGAAAAATGCCCTCAAAATTCATTTTCAACCAGGATCTCAGAATGTGACCCTATTTGGATATAGAATCTTAACAATGCAATTGATACTAAATTAGTGTAGCTCTCTTTAATGACTGGTGTCCTTATAAGATGATGAGAGAGCTCAAAGATAAACAGAGGAAAGTGGGTTGTCTGACAACAAAGGCACAGGTTGAAGTGATGCAGCAGCAAGTCAAGGAATGTTACAGACTGGCAAGAATCACCAACAGACAGTAGGAAGGAAGGAATGATCCTTTTCAAGAGGTAGCATCTTGGGGCCTGCACTGTGGTATAACAGGTAAAGCCACAGCCTACAGCGCTGGCATCCCATATGGGTGCCGGTTTGAGTCCCGGCTGCTCTACTTCTGAACCAGCTCTCTGCTATGGCCTGGGAAAGCAGTGGAAGATAGGCCAAGTCCTTGGGACCCTGCACCCATGTGGGAAACCTGAAGAAGCTCCTGGCTCCTGGCTTTGGATCGGCAAGTTTCAGCTGTTGCAGTCAGTTGGGGAGTGAACCAATGGATGGAACACCACTCTCTCTTTGCCTCTCCTTCTCTCTGCCTCTTTCTCTCTCTGTGTAACACTGACTTTCAAAGAAATAAATAAATCTTTAAAAAAAAAGAAAAAGAAAAAGAAAACGAAAAAGAGGTAGCATCTTGGGACTGGCACTGTGGTGTAGCAGGTTAAGCCACTGCCTGCGTTGCTGACATCCCATATGAGTACCAGTTCGAGTCCTGGCTGCTCCACTTCCAAGCCAGCTCTCTGCTCTGACCTGGGAAAACAGTAGAAGATGGCCCAAGTTCTTGGGCCCATGCACCTGCATAGGAGAAACAGAAGCAGCTCCTGGGTCATGGCTTCAGGCTGGTGCAGTTCTAGCCACTGCGACCAATTGGGGAGTGAACCAGCGGATGGAAGATCTCTCTTTCTCTCTCTCTCTGCCTCTCCTTCTCTCTGTGTAACTCTTTCAAATAAATGAATAAATCTTAAAAAAAAAAAAAAATAGGTAGCATCTTGATTTTACATTGCTAATCTCCAAAATTGTGAAAAAATAATTTGTTGCCTTAAACCACCAAATTGGCGGTGATTTTTTTTAGCAGTAGCAAGAACAAATACATGTTTATACATATCCATTTTCATCTCTCAAGACTTCAGCCATTCCACAACTGATCATGAGAAAATAATGATCCATGCAGGACAACGCTTGTACTACTGCTTCCCAAATGAGGAGTTCTGCTGAACGTCCAGCACACCTACATTTAACCCATGAATACTAAAAAAAGATTTTGCTCTAGACCTGAGCACCCTTTCCTCCACTGGGTGGAGGACATTAACTAAGTTGTACCTCATCCTTCTTCTCCTGAATGCGTCGTCTCTCTGCCTCAATAGTCAGCTTCTCCTGAATTTCCTGAGCAATTTCACAGTCTTGTTGTTCACTAAAAAACAAAAAACAACATGAATAAAGAATATAATGGATAACTGTTCCTAAAAATATAGCACAAATTATTGAGCACTCACTATGAGCCAGTGCAGGTTTATACCTCACTTAGTCATCAATACAATGAGCACAGAGGTTGAAACTGTCACATCTTACAGATGAGAAAAGTTGAGACCCAGAGATGTTAACACCACTTCCCCAAGATCAGAAAGAAAAACGCGGCCAAACCAGAATCTGATTCCCAGACACAACTACGGCACGTCCAGTTTCTCCTAGAGCTCATATCACTTCACTCTACTGGGGCCACTCTATAGAAAGGTATGTTTTCCTGAGATTCTACAAAGTTGGTGCAGACTGTGAAAATAATGTCCAAAAACACTCAACAGTGTACAGAAAGTTTGTGCGAGAGCTCACTAAAATGTCATATTGCTGTGGTCAACTGAAGATAGTAGTATAACTTTGAAATAACTTTATGTTTTATCATTTCTTTCATTTTAATCACAAACATAATTAAGAAATTATGCTTCAGAAAAAGGACAGAAACAGTGTAAGTTACCCAGCTTTGGTTATTTGTAGAAGCTATTCTGGCTAATACCGGTTTTCTTAACACTCTGGCCACTAAGTCAAACACTGTAATGCTCATGCTATCTTATGCTTTATTGTTTGATTGGTTTCTTGGTTGGTTGGTTCAGTGGTTTTTGGCATTCACACATTCAACCAAATTTAAACAGCATCTACGCATAACACTGAGGATATAATAATTCTTTATTATACATTCAAAAGCTCATAATACTATATTCTAGTGGGAGAAACAAGGGAAATCATTTTGTTGGGGGAAATAGATCCTTTAAAGAAACAGTTCCCAGGGCTGGCACTGGGTTGTGGAGGTAAAGCTGCTGCCTGCAACGCCAGCATCCCATAGGCATACTCGTTTGAGTCCAGGTGCTCCATTTCTGATACAGCTCCCTGCTAATGGCCTGGAAAAAGCAGCAAAAATGGCCCAAGTGTTCAGGAACCTGCCAAACTAGATGAAGCTACTGGCTTCTGCCTTTGGCCTGGCCTGGTGCTGGCCTTTACAGCCATCTAGGGGGTGAACCAGTGGATGCCAATCTCTCTCTCTCTTGCTCTCTCTCTCTCTCTCTCTCTCTCTCTCTCTCCCTTTCTCTCCCTCTTTAATTCAGATTTTCAAGATAAATAAATAAATCTTTTAAATAATATAAAGAAGCAGTTCCCACAGAAAATGGAGCTTGGTCTTCTCAAAAATGGTTACAAAATTTTGCCCCAGGTACACAAGTCTTCTAGTTTCAAATTTCAAGAAAAAACAATAGAAAGCTTAGAACTCTACAATGTGATAGTTATGGGGAGCCAATCTTTTTTAAAAAATTGTTAGCCACACACACACACACAAAAAAAAACAGAGTTGACAATCTAAAAAGATGATGCAATAAAATTCCAATTTTTATTTTTATATGTAGTTCATTTGCTAAACAAATATATTCCCTCATTTACCTCCTGCCAATAAAACTTAAAATACTCATAAGTCTCAGTGTTGGTGGCATATTCCATGTTTAATGGCAGTCTTTTATAATTGTAAAAGAGTTGAGAGTGGGGATAGAATAAAAAACTAACTTTTCTAGAGGAACTGAAATTCAAATATTCTATTCTAACAAAACAGAGTAAGAAATGATTCTCATTTACATGAGGAAACCTTCATTTTGAACATGTTTGGAAATAGGCAGATGTAGGTAAAAAGTAGATGTGTACATATACATGCTAGTATGTATGCACACACCATGGAAGAAGGAGAGCAAAAGAATACACAATACAGCAAGCACAAGCCAGAAATAGTAAAACTTTTCTTTTTTGTAATCAGTAGGAAAATTACTAGACTAGAAATCTGAAGCCCTGGTTTGTAGCCTTGCTTCTACCTCTAATGATTATGCCTTCTCATGCCATTTTATCAGCTATAAAAACATCTAGACTGAATGATCTTATATTAAAAGTCTAATATTCTAGGATTTTTATATATTCAAATAAAAGAAATGGAAATAAACAAAAATCTACCCATAGCAATTTCTATTTAGATTTGCTCCTTTCATTTAACTTAGAATAATTTAGAATTATACACAAAGCCATGGCTTTAGTTTAAGGAGTTCTCTACCTGCACTTCCCAAACAAATGTAAAATCTATACAGCTCCAAGTGACTACTATAGGCAAGGTGGTAATAAATGGGAAGAAAGCAGTAGCAAAGAAAGCAAATCCAAATGAAATATTGAGGGTCACAAGTGACACAAAAGATATATTTACTGGTACAGCAGAGAAAGATGTAAAGATTCAGTTGAGCTCAGTTATTTCAAACTGTATTTCCAAGAAGAATCATTTCTAGTTACGTCAGTTAATTATACAGAATCCTGAGGAAGCAAAACCAAATGAGAAAGGAGTACAAAATAGTCTGGAAGTCTTGGATGATGGCCCCAGAACCAAAGCTGAGTGAATGGTTCCACTTCTGTTAAAATCTCTAGCATTTCACCCACCCCACAACATCCAGTTGTCAAAACTGCCAGAGAATAAAAATGACAGACTCCCTTCCAGGCAAGAACATCCTCCCTGGTTCTCTCATTTGGGATCTATAAACCACTACTCTCCAATTCCTGATTTGTATTTCACAGTACTTTATTTTATAACTCACTAACATTATCCTAATTCTGAATCTTAGACTTCTGGATCAATCTCAGATAATCTTTCCTAATAGATAAGAATCAACACTATAAAGGGCAATAACCTAGAACTCTAGAACATTCTTTAGTTGGCTCTCAAGGTCTTCACTACAACTGTGACACAGCTTCAGAACATTCCAAATCAGTCTATTCCTCTTTATATCTCCATTACCATTAACCTTAATTCAGACCTCATTATCTTCTCTATTTTCTCTACCACCATTGTCTAACCAGTTTCCTCATCTCATTTGGCCACTGTTCAACAGCTACTTTCAATTTTACCCTTCAAGCCTTTACCAACCCAGTCCCCATAAAAGGTCCCAAACATAACCTATAACTCTTTTCAGTGGTTGCCTATTCCTTGTAACATAAAATCTAGGGGCATGCACTTGGCACAGTGGTTAAGATGCCACTTATAACACCCACATCCTATATCAGGGTGCCTAGTTCAAGTCTAGGTTCCCCTGCTTCTGATCAAGCTTACTGCTAATACACAGCCTGGGTAGCATCAAATGAGATAATAGCTCATGTACTTGGGTCACTGCCATGCATACAGGCAACCCAGAGTGCCAGGTCCCTGGCTTCAGCATGGCCCAGTCCTGGATGTTGAGGGCAGCTGCAGAGTAAACTAGCAAATGAAAGATCTCTGTGTCTATCTCCTTGTCTCTCTGCCTTTCAAATAAAATGAAAATAAAAATTCAAAAAAAAAAAAACATTTAATTTTTAAATGTACCTAAATTCCTTAAATTATGTGACCTTTTATAGTCCAGTTTTTGCCTACTTTTCAGGTTGCATCTCCTACTTAATGCTATCTTAATTATATTATGCCCCCTGGCAATCCTCAACTTCTTGTAGCTACCAAGAGATTCCTGGTCTTTTTGCCTACTGCCCTTATACTTGCTGTTCTTTCTGGTAAGAACGGCTTTCTCCAATTATCCTATAAATTCCTAATTAGCCATCAAGTTTCAGATTAAATACAGCACCTGTTCTGTGGAGGGTTTCCCAGTCTCATTTTCTCTTCATAGGCATGAAATTTACAATTCAATTCTCTGTAAATCTTGCCTGTATTTCTAGACATACAATGTGCAGGATGTTTTCCTGAAGCTCTTAAAGGCAACAGCTACATGGCCCAGCAACATGGTGTAGTAGGTTACACCTCCACCCATGGCACTCTCATCCCATATGGGTGCCAATTCCTGTTCCGGCTGCTCCTCTTCTGATCCAGCTCTCTGCTTATGGCCTGGGAAAACAGTGGAGGATGGCCCAAGTTCTTGGGCCCCTGCATCCACATGGGAGATCCAGAGGAGGCTCCTGCCTCTGGATCGGCCCAGCTCTGATCACTGTGGCTACTTGGGGAGTTAACCAGCAGATGGAAGAACTCTGTTTCTCTCCCTTTTGCTGAAACTCTGCCTTTCAAATAAACACATCTTTAAAAAAAAAAAAAGCAATAGTTATTATGTCTTCTTCCCTCTGGTCTCCTATGCCTTTCAAGGCACCTAGTTTAAAAGTCAATAAAATATTTATTTACAAAATAAGGAAGTTCAGCAAAATGACAAATAGAGTCTTCCCTACAAATAAGAAGTGGAAGGGCAAACACATAAAGCTAGAATAAATTAAGGGGTCCTTCACTTCTGCCTTTTCTCCTTCCTCCTCAACACTCTCATGGGGTCACATCTACCAGTACCAAGTTGTAAAAGCCAGTCTCAGAGAAGAATTGGATTCCATGAACTTTAAAACACTGAAAAACAGAAAAAAATAATGTTGCTGAAAGGACTATGATTTTTGAACTGATCATTTTCACTAAGGGTCAAGACAGAGAGAGAACTTTCTTCAGATATTGAAGTGATGAAAAGAATTGCAATTCACAACTTTCTGTAACATTCTACAATTTTCTTTGAAAGTGAGAGGACCAAGGAAAGTAACAGCAGCAAACAACTAGGAAATAGAAAAGGAACCCAATACAACTCATAAAATTCTTTGATGCCAATTATTTCACTTGATTGATCAAACCAACCATGAGCAGAGACAAAGATTAATTTTCCAGTTTTGTGGGTAATTCACACAGGTCCATGGTTGACTCAAAGTTACACAACTAAAAGTGGTGAAATTCACACCATAATCCTGTATCCCAAAACGTAGTCAAGAGTTACAGCAGAAAGGGGAAGTCTTCAAAGCAAAGAAAACTACTGGATAACCACAGTAGGATTTGTAGTATAACAAGGACTAGAGGAGTCTCCTCCTGCCCGCCATGGCTGTTGGCTCCACAGAGAAAACCACTACTGACATTACACCCTCCCAACTCCCAGATCCTCACAGGTCTTTGTAGCGCTTTTGGAGCTGAGCCTGGGCTTTCAGATCTTCCTCTTGGAGCTGCTTAGCCACCTGCAGATCATGCTGGACCAAACGGCTCCTCTGAACGTTCGATGCCAAGTGATGCTCAACTGGAACAGAAAGAGAAGAGCAATGACAATGCATTGGGCTGTTAGTACCAATCTTTATTAACGCACTTAACAAAAACTCAAAAGGGCTTCACATCTATCACTTCATTTCATACTCTCAACAACACTGTGTAAACAGCAGCACAGAAATTATTATCTCTATTTTTCTCTTTAGCAAAAAGAGAAGATCAACAAGGTAAGTAATTTGCCTTTGGCCAAAAAATAAATAAATAAATAAATAAAAGGTGATATAAGGATTCCACACAAACATTCTAAAGCCAGAGCCAGTACTCTTCCTGTTATCACACTACCAATCTATTTATTAATGCATTTTTCAATACTTAATGGGTATACTTATAAATGAGTTGTTCACAAATCACATATTCACAAATGTGCACATAACCTAGATTTACTTCCCACCAGCACAATGCACAAATATTCAGAAAACATCAGTGTAACCTAATATGTTCACACCCTGTTCTAGAAGCAGGACTAGATTCCTATGGCAGCTCCTCCTAAGGCAGAGGGAAAGGTAAAAGTTCCTTTTTTCTTCCTATATACCCTGCAGTTTTCTAATTCTTGACAGTCTGCCCTGCTTGAAAATACCCAACTATTCATCATTCATCCAGACATCACTTGTCTAGACAAATTCTACATGATGGGTAATAGACAGTCTGGCCATGTGGCTGTGTTCTCTCGCTACCTCACTCTAAGAAACTGAAGGCCCATGAGAGCCATTACTCACTCTCTTGTTCCTGCAGACTGTGAGCCAAGGTGTGGTCCTCCAGGACAGCAAAATCTCTGCACACTGGTGAGAATGAAGGAAGAGTAGACACAAAGACTCATTAGTAGTACTCCGACATAAAAAGAACTTTGTTTCATTCAAAATACCAATTATAATATTTCAAGATGATCAACTTTATAATCTCCAATGCATGAAACAGTGCCTAGTTACACATGTTATCTTCATTCACAAAAATCCATACAGTGCCTGCTCAGTGCGCCACGGTTGGGTGTTTCCTAAGGTGATGACATTAACCACCGCACCAGAAATTGTAATCCACCTCTAATGGGGAGAGGGAACACTGCTAAAATAACAGTCAGATTGTTGCTGAGAGCTGAGTTCTTGCTTGCATGGGTCAGGGAAGTTAGAAGAAACCTAGTCTATGAATCGTCCTCTGTGGTTCTCAGGAGACAAACTCAGAGATTTACAGCTCTCCTAGTGTCCTTAAGGAAAACGACACCATCATTAGTCCCTCAGTAGAAACAAATCTCCACTTTAAGAAAAAGCATGTGCTTCAATGGATTCATCTCCAGGGTCTCTGGGTCTCTCTAAACCCTAAATAATTTACAAACAAACAAAAATGGAAGAAATTGGAAAGCTGTCCCTAACTTTGCCTCCCTCAGGAAATCCCAGCAAGACTACCTACTGGTCTCCCAGGTCCATTTAACTCCAAATTACAATTTAAATTCCTGCTTATTAAAAGGAATATGCAAACCAGAACATGAAGAACTCATCATGAAAAGTGCTGTTTTAAGGATGTGTAGTTTCGATGCTATGTTCTTACTCTATTCCAAATACGTAACTAATGTTATAAAAGGAAAATTCCCCAAAGCATCAGGCTACTACAATGTGTACGACTCATGAAACTACCCCCTGGGACTTACAGAAGGTCATAGATTTCTTTCTGCAGGTTTGGATTTATCTCTGAGGACGTTTAAAAAGATGAACAACACTGCCTGTGTTCACTTATGTTCACATATATATTCACACATTGTCTTGTCCCTCATTGAGAGACAAAAACACAATCAGATAGAAGTAATGTTCTTCTAGTGCCCCATAGCACACTAGAGTGACTACAGTTGGCAATAATGTATTATTTACTCCATAAAGAAATTGAAGAAAAGAGCTAATAGGCTACAAACAAAAGGAAACTGAAAAGCTAACTGGCTGATTTATGTTACATATGTGTGTTGAAATACTATGCTGTACCCCATTAAAATGGACAAGTACTACATGGAAATCAAAATTTTATTTTTTAAAGATTTATCTGAGGGGCCAGTGCTGTGGCGTAGCAGGTAAAGCCGCTACCTGCAGTGCTGGCATCCCATATGAGTGCAGGTTCGAGTCCCGACTGCTCCATTTCTGATCCAGCTCTCTGCTATGGCCTGGGAAAGCAGAAGATGGCCCAAGTCCTTGGGCCTCTGGACCCACGTGGGAGACTAGAAAGAAGCTTCTAGCTTGTGGCTTTGGATGGGCGCAGCTCCGGATGTCACAGTAGATTGGAGAGTGAACCAGCGGATGGAAGATCTCCCTCCCTCCTACCCCCCTCTGTGTGTGTGTGTGTGTGTGTGTGTGTGTCTCCTTCTGTGTAACTTTGACTTTCAAATAAATAATAAATAAATCTTAAAAAAAAATTTATTTGAAAGGTAAAGTGGGGGTGGGTAGAGGGAGAGAGACACAGAGAGAAAGAGAATAGAGAGAGATATATTTCTTATGTTGGTTCACTTCTCAAATGGCTGCAACAATCAAGACTGAGCAAGGTCAAGACCAGAAGCCAGGAATTCCACCTACATCTCCATCATGCTGCCAGGGGACCTTGCTCAGAACCATAATTCATTGCCTTCCCAGGCACATTAGCAAGGAGCTGGATCCAAAGCAGAATAGCCAGACAGGACTCAAATCATTACTAAAATATAGAATGTTGGCAATACAAGTGGTAGTTTAACCAGCTGTGCCACAATCAAAGAAACAACTTAATATTTAAATATGGAGACCTTGGGGATGCAATGCTGACATCTCATTTCAAAATGCTGGTTTGAGTCCCCAGTCTGGCTTCCTGCTAATGAGTCTTAAAAGCTTGAGTCTGTGACACTCATGTGGGAAAGCTGGGTGGAATTCCTAGTTCCTCGGTTAGCTCTGTTCCAGACCTGGCTATTATGGCCATTTGGGGAGTGAACATTTTGTTTCATTCTGTCTTTCAAATAAATACATCTTTGAATGAATAAATATATGGCACTTATAACCTGAATTCAAAATGGCAATTGTCTCTGAAAACAGAAAAAGGGGCAGGACTGCCTTAGCTACACAAGTCACTCTACAGCTTTACAAAAAGAGAAGACTGAAGCAGTTAAGGCAAAATATTAACATCTAATTTTTGTGGTAGATTACTAGGTTGCTGTGTTTGTTTTTAGTAATGTTTTTACATTTTAAATTCTATAATTAAATGTAAATTCCTTTAAGTTCCTTCATTTCATCAACAGCATATATTGTTAAATCACAAACATGTAGTCTGACCTAATAGAGGTAAGGAATGTGTGAATTCCTGATTACAATAACACGGCCTTCTTAATGATTTTTTTTTTTTTTTTTGACAGGCAGAGTGGACAGTGAGAGAGAGAGAGACAGAGAGAAAGGTCTTCCTTTACCGTTGGTTCACCCTCCAATGGCCGCCGCGGCCAGCGTGCCGTGCTGATCCGAAGGCAGGAGCCAGGTGCTTCTCCTGCTCTCCCATGCAGGTGCAGGGCCCAAGGACTTGGGCCATCCTCCACTGTACTCCCGGGCCACAGCAGAGAGCTGGCCTGGAAGAGGGGCAGCCAGGACAGAATCTGGTGCCCCAACCGGGACTAGAACCCAGGGTGCCGGCACTGCAGGCGGAGGATTAGCCTATTGAGCCGAGGCGCCGGCCTATGATTTCTTAATATCTAAAGAGCAAGATTGATTTACAAATTCAATTATTCTAAGTTGACGCTAACTCTTTTTCTGCAGATGCAGAAATGGTACTAACTGGGTATGAGCACGGCCTAAATTAGAAGATCATAATGGCTATAGGGAAGTGCATGGATTATGAGTATATACATAGTAGTAGTGTCAAATATAATGATGTAGGACCTCAGAATTTATTAAATGCTTCCAAGTACGACTCATTTATTCTGAAATATTTGTCCAATCTATAATTTCTTCTGCATCTACTCTACTTCTTTCAAGATCTGCCTGTGTAAACCCTACATAATTACTCTAGGGCAACCTGGGAACAAACATTTAGTCACCTTTGTAAATCAGTAACTGGACTGGGTATGTCAGAAAACATTTCACAGACAGGCCAGGCTAAGAGCCTGCCTAGAACTTTGCTCTTTCTCTAACCTACTCTGCTTGGTTATAAACAGTATAAACAGTATGCTGAGAACAAACAGCCATGAGCTCCATTCACCAATTTTACCTTCGGCCACATTTAAAGTGGATTTCTGGAACCTAGTCTTTCACCCCCACTTCTCAAACACCTTCCCAGCCATGTTCACTCTCACTCACTCCAAACCCACAGTTGTTTTTTGTGTTCTTTCCATAAATCAACCTCATCATCATCTACTATTCCTAACCTGATACTAACATGAGTGTCCGCACCACAATTTTCCAACTGATCTGCTTTATTTCCACCCTGACCTAAATGGTCCTGTGGCCTCCTCTGTAACTTGACACTTTACAAAACTTACAGTATGGTGGCTAAATATCTTTTAAACATTAAAATCCTGGAACACCGCTTGTTTAGAAAAGCTTTAACTGAAAGAAATGTACTTGGCTCCGGAACTAGAGCATACAGCTGCCTCACCATCCATTTAGAAATCCTTGAGGATAGGAATACTATAGGGGTAATCTCACCTAACAATTAGCACCGGATGTAGCATGTTGAGACTTCAGAAAATGCTCACTAATGAAAACAAAACAACAACAAAAAGAAGAAACTGGTCAAAAAGGCAAAGAACAGTAAGAGTTCCAGAAAGCAAGTGAACAACATCATGAACAGAATTAAGCTCTGCCATTTGAAAGAATCACAGACTTGTAAAATTTGTCAACTACCATTAAAGTCAGGGGTAGGGAACCTCCAGCCTGCAGGCCATATAAGGCTTGGGAAGTTATTTGGTTTAGTTCTGCCAAGGCAATGGCAGGCAGGACTCAAAACTTAGTAAATCTACAGAAGGCTACTTTTTAGGCTGATAACTTTGTATGATCCACAAATGATATTATAGGATCCAAATGGCCCTTGGCAGAAGGTTACCCACCCCTGACTTAAATAAACTAATCATTTATTGATACTATTGTAACAGGAAAATTAGGATCCTCTATCATTCCTATTAAAGGAGTTTCAATGATTTTTAACCCAAATATATACATATAAATATTCAGTGAATTAGTTTACATTAAACAGAGTCAGTCTCAGAAATTAAGAGGGGACTGACTGACATACCTTATACATATACATATACAAATATATTCCAATCTATTTTCCTTTTGGAGAGTAAGATTCTCATTCAGTTCTGGATTTTCCCTAAACACACAAATGTTATAGTCTCATAAACACTCATTTATTCAATAAGCATGTGCTGAACTCTGTCAGAATGAATATGTCACTCCCAAAATAGTAAAGCGGTGGGAATGACAGAAAGGTAAATAAGAGGAAAGGTGGGGGGAAAAAAAAAAAAAAAAGGCTGACTAATGGGTACTAAGTGCCAGAGAGGAGTAAGAAGTTCTGGTGCTCTACTGCACAGAAATATGACTACAGATAATGTGCTGTATATCTTTCTTATTTTTAATTTTTTTATTTGACAAGTAGAGTCATATATAGTGAAAGAGAGAGAGAAAGGTCCTCCTTCCATTGGTTCACTCCCAAAATGGCCGCCACGGCCGGCGCTGTGCCAATCTGAAGCCAGGAGCTTCTTCCTGGTCTCCCATACGGGTGCAGGAGCCCAAGCACTTGGGCCATCCTCCACTGCCCTCGTGGGCCACAGCAGAGCTGGACTGGAAGAGGAGCA